AGTACTCATCTTACCTTTTCTCTGCCTTTGTGTCAGTCTGACTGTCTCTTTTACACCTGTGAATTATTATTCCGTCCCTCCTCTCACTTTTTGCCATTTTGATATCCCCCTCCTCTCTGTGAAGCCCGAAGTCAGCTAAAGGGCTGATAATAACCGTCAAAACGCCTGCCATTTGGAAAAAAATAAATAAATATCATGAACTTTATGATAGCCTAAAAAGATATCTTTTTTTCATATTTGATGAGTCCTTCGAGAGCCGAATATTTTCTTCCTTCACTCTCTCAACCATTTATTTAATTTCACATTGTCAGGTGAACATATTCTGATACAGACTTGTTTAATGGATCATCTGTGGCAACTCTCTGTTATATGATTTTAATGAAAATATAAAGAAATAAAGTTACTTAAATAGACTAATTAAAAACTTCTTTGCTTATTTATTTTGCATTTCCATTTATTTGCTATTTACACTCACTCATATTGCTCAATACAGCTAGGTGTGAAAGACCGTATTTGTCTCTCAAGGCTGAATTGTGTACATGTAAAGGCCAAAATTGAGAAGCTGAAAATGAAGAAGGGAATTGTGATTTAAATGAATAGGATTTCTTTGCTACCATTAAAATTAAATCAATGAGCCTACTTTTGGTTACATCCTTAGCAACTCTTTATTTTGAAAGAAATGCGATCTGTGCATTTCAACTAAATAATAATGATTGGTTGAGTAATGGCAGATATAAGTTTCAATATCCCAATCGATGCATAGGTAACTTATTGGAAATTATTTCGCTTCAAGCCAATAGTAACGCCCAAATCAATTTCCCAAAATGGGATGTGTAAGGATAATAAGAAATCTCAACAGTTCGAAACTGTATTATTGCCTACTTTAAATATTAAATTTAAAGTGATATTTGGAATGAAGTGTATTAATGATTCGGATCTCAGTCGTTTCGAGTTATCTGCTGAGGATTATTCATTTTGTATTCGATTGGGCAAGAGAAATTATTGTTTCGTCGAAACGGTTTGACCCAGTTGGAGCGCTGCGTGACTCCCTATAGGTTAATAAAACGATGGATTTAAAGAGTGAATAAAATTGTATTGTTAAAAAATGAAGCTGAATGAATCCCATCATATGCAAATGTTTTGACTGATAGATAAATAAACAATGGTTCTGACGCGATGTTAACCATCTAGTCAATAAGCGACGGACAGAAGGTAAACTTCTGGAAAGTTGAGAATTAAAAAAATAAAATGCGAATGTAAAAAGTTGCTTTCTAAATCCAAAAAGATTTTAAACCTCTTTAGTTGGTATCCTTCCCATTTTGACCGATTGATTACGTTGTTAGGATAGTCAACGAGTTTTACCACAATTGTACCAACAAGTGAATTTATCCTTACAGTTAAAAACAAAATAGGCTATCTTAAAGATCAACCAATATAAAATCACTAACATCTATGATATATGGGAATATTGTGATTTCCGATTTCCCTCAGAAACTATATTAATATTGTCCTTATCATAGAAATTACCGTAACAAAGTAATGTTTCTAAGATTTGAATTTTTAATTCAAATTCGGAATGGCGATAAAGTGGTAAATTCAGTTTTCATATTTGCATAACACACAATAGAACAATGACACGACTGCAACATTCATTCAAAAGAACAAAACATTTATAATAAAAAATCTAAAACTTCAACGATATGATTTATTTCATTCATATATAAAAACGACTACTTGGAACTGGATGCAATGCAGTCTTAAGAAAATACTTTGATTTTTGCACGTTAAAAATAAGACATCGTTAATATGCAGATAGTTTTACCGTTACAGTCGCATAATTATCGGTCCAAAATGTAACCGGTTGTCCACTAGAGAGTTCTGCAGCTTGCTAGAATAAATCAAACGACCCATCAATCGTAATGGTAGTGATTACAAACCAGATTGTCAGGGGTTCTTTTTGGGGAGACAGAATTATTACAGAAATCTATCATTGTTCTAGATTGGTAGTCCGTTGGTTCTAATGAATCAAATTTCTGTGATAGCTCATTTCTATAAGAAGGCATTAATTATCGTGCACTATTATAGAAATAGTATTCAAAAGAGCAAACTTGCTCTACTTCTTTTCGTATCCTCGTCCTAAGATCCCTTGTTCGAGCTCCTTTAAACGGATCCATAATTAAAAGCTAAACCATATGTACCTATTGGAGATCCGCTGTAGTTTTTACCACACGGAGTATTATTGGAGCATCCTCTATGGCGATTAGAGTCCATCATATGCAAAATTAAAAATTTTAGCACTGAAACGAGAAATCTGTTTTATTTAGTAATCTTGGAGATTGAAATATTATAAATAGGCCAATGTTGAGTCAAAAAGAATTAAGTAATGAACTTTGTTACAGCATTGGTTTTTAAAAATATAATTAAACAAATTTTCTATCATGGCAATTATAAAATAGACTAAATTTGGTATAAAAATTCACAATCACTTTCTCGCACCAATTTCTGGTCAAAGGGTCGACTTTCAAAACATATGGTTGCTATCGGCGACAATTTCATTAAATATTTTCTGCTATGTCCCGAAATTGTTAATTATTAATTTCTTTGCGAAATATCTTATAATAATGAAAAAATGCATTTTAATAAGGAGTCTCATTTAACTGTAAGCTAGCTCCCGCACATCTTTACCAAATTTAGGTGAACTCATAAAAATGTCGAAACGTCGCTACCAAAAGGATATAGTGATTACATGAGCAAGAGTATATTCATTGGATTTAGTTAATATCTACTGAATATTTTATTTAAATATCTCAATATTATATTTTGAAGAAAATATGATATACCGTTATTTGGCTGGTGACGAATAAAACAGTAAGATGTTTGTAAGATATTACGACGTTCTAAATAGCATTGGATAATTAGATCAATGAATTAAAATTTATTGAAGAGCTCTTGTTAACGAATGACCAAGAACTTCATTTTTATGTCATAAGATGAAAAAATATACTATTTATTATTTTTGACACACTAAAAGCATCGAAGATATAAGGAAAATGAATATTAAGTTACAGACATAGGTTGCCTCAGCTTATTAATACTATTTGCACACTGGTTCAAAAATTAAGTCATTGCAAAATTAATCTTATAAACTTAATAAATTTATTTTAATTCATACTTATATAACTAAGAGATAATTAATACACATAAATTTCTTGCAAAAAAACACTCTTCTCATTAACCAATAAATTTGTTTGGATAGGTAAGTTAAACGTTGTACTTTTCAAATTGGCAATTGAAGTTTCCTTATGGCGGAGAGTATCAAAGTTGTTTGTCGTGTGAGACCCTTAAATGAAAATGAGAAAGCTAGGGATAATAACTACTGTGTAAGCTTTCCACCGGACTGCTCAAATCTCATAAAATTGGTAAGCTTTAATTACTTTGACTAACAGCATAATAGGAAAGAGATAAAACCTATGCATTTGATCATGTTTTCCAACCTAAAACCCAACAAGTGGATATTTACACTACAGTTGCAAAACCTATTGTCGCTGATGTTCTCAATGGCTATAATGGAACTATCTTTGCTTACGGTCAAACGGCCAGTGGCAAAACATTCACAATGGAGGTTCGATGCTATTTATTGTTTTTATTTTTCTATAATAGGGTGTTCTTGGAGACCAGACATTGCAAGGGATCATTCCTAGAATAGTTCATGACATTTTTAATCACATTTATAATATGGAAGAGTATCTTGAATTTCACATCAAAGTTTCTTATTTCGAAATTTATTTGGACAAGATTCGTGATTTACTTGATGGTAAGCAATGCCCTTTGTCGCTAATCCCTTTTTGCTTAGTTACTAAAAGCAATCTTTCGGTACATGAGGATAAGAATCGTGTCCCTTATGTGAAAGGAGCCACGGAAAGATTTGTTTCTACACCCGAGGATGTCTTTGATGTTATTGATGAGGGGAAAGCTAATCGACATGTTTCTGTAACCAGTGAGTCATATTTCTGCAGGAAAATTTCTCAAATAACTTTGGTTTACTCGTCTGTGGTTTAACTTTCTAGACATGAACGAGCACAGTTCCCGATCCCACTCAATTTTCATGTTCACTGTCACTCAAGAGAACTTGGAAACCAAGAAAAAGCTCCACGGAAAGCTCTATCTTGTTGATTTGGCCGGTAGTGAAAAGGTTGCTAAGACTGGTGCAGAGGGAAGTACTCTTACTGAAGCGATGAATATCAACAAATCTCTTTCTGCTTTGGGTAATGTTATTAACGCTCTCGTGGATAATCATGTAAGTATGAAGTATATATTATAGTTAATTCCATCACTTATTTGGAGAGAATTAATATCATTTTTTGATTATTTAGCCCCACGTTCCCTATCGAGACTCCAAACTGACTCGTATCCTGCAGGAATCTCTTGGTGGTAACGCCAAAACCACGATGATTATCTGCTGCTCGCCGTCTAGCTACAATGAAGCTGAGACCAAATCCACCCTCCTCTTTGGTATGCGAGCCAAGACGATCAAGAATATTGTCACTGTCAATGAGGAGTTGACAGCTGAGGAATGGCGCCTTCGATATGAACGCCTTCAAGCCAAAGCTCGTCGTATGAAGGAAATTATCGATCGATTGGAGACAGAATTGAAAAGATGGAGAGCTGGGGAGAATGTGGACACTAAGGAGTGGGTTGTTGCTGCGGAATTGGAAATTGAGGAATCCACTGACGAAGCCGAAGGTGATGTCTCCAAGGGGACACCTGCACTCCCTTCTACAACCATTGCTTCTCCTGGTACTCCCTCTACAAGACCTGTTGTTGATTTGGCTGCTGCTGCATCTGGTGAGTAGATTCATTTGCATGGTCTGGGTTTATTTATCCTAATGAGAATGCCCGATGCATAACTTTGTGTTTAGATGAATAATGGCCTGACTGGTCATTCAAATTCAGTTCTTATTTGTTTCTTTTCATTCCATCTTGTGCTTTAATTCTGTGAGTGTTCATCTGGTGAGTAAATCGTGTTAATTGAGGACAATAATGTCTTTATTCACAAAATTCATTACAACAGTGAAAGCTTAAATGTATGTTTGAGTGGTGAGATATACTTTGGAGTTTGACAGCAGTGGGTATAATCTTACTTTTATTTTTTATCACATTACGTTTTTATTTAACCATCGCGTTTCTTCACGGACAGAAAACTTACATATTTATATAGCAGATTTGGAGCCGATTTAGAAAGGTCGTGAAAAGGTCATCTGGATGATTATTTTATAATGAATAAATTCTCTTTTATTGTTTAGGGACATATAAAATTTCAATATTTAGAAGAATATTTTATTTTCTTCTATTCGACTTATTCAGTTTAATGGTCAGTGGAAAATATGCACCGCTATTTTATTAGCTTGGATCTTGTTTGGACCTGGAAACTCAGTACTGTTGATTTAATTTGCAGTTGGTGTCAGTGAGGAACAGTTGCATGCCCTCTATCAACAGCTTGATGATAAGGATGAAGAGATTACTAAACACTCTCAGACTATTGAACGTCTTCGTCGACAACTCGAGGAGCAGGAGCAGCTGCTTCGTGATGCTCGTATTGAGGCTGATTCAAGTTCCGCAGATGCCACTCAATACCATGTAAGATTTCTCTCTCGAATTAATATGTTTAATTTCTGCCCTGTAATCCTGGCTGTCTTAAAGTATCTAGGGGATTTGAATTTTAACTTATTCAGAAGTAGGCCACATTGATCGAGAAATTTCACTATTTCTGGGTTAATGGTAGCTTCTTCTCTATATAGGTACTCTTAATTTCTAATAAAAAGAGGTCTTGATCAGATGTTGTTTGATACTCTTACAGACTCGATGCTACTGCTGTTACTAAAGTTCTCAGATCTATTCATGTGATTGTTCTCATAACTTCCTAACCAAGTGATCCCAAAATTTGACTTTAAAAGTTCTTAGCCAAAATATGAGTGGAGAGTTGGAAGTGTTACATTGTTCTATTTCCCTCCTGATGGAGAAGTCAACTACCAGTTAATAGACTTTGCCGTATGAAAATACGTTGCCCAGGGTGCACCACGTGGAGGTAAGTCTATTACACACCCCTACTTCATAATCTTATTTAATGTAGCGTCATCACGTATGATTCCTGCTGCCAGCGATTGTATTGGTACCAGCGATGAGTCTATACTCGAAGTTGTGAGAAGGAAGATCCGTCTGAGTTCTGGTGATGGCATTGGCCTGAGATAAAGATTTCAAATGCCTCCCCTCTATTTACCGAAATTGCTTCTGTGTAGCTAATCTGAGAATAGGGTAAATGTAAATAATTTTTTTGAATACATTGACGTTTGGGCATGATAGCATTCAGTATCTTGAGCTCTGGATTTAAGGATTGTCTGCATTTAGTATGCTCGCGTCAACTTTGAAAAGACAGTGGAAGTAAGGAAAGGTGTACATTTGCAGATTGACTTACACCATTTGACTATCGAACATTCATTTCCTGGTACCCATATAGTGGTAATTAACCAATAATCGAGTTATTTCGTCGGATTTGCCATATATAGCCCTATTTCTCTTGGGTAAAAGTTGATTTGTGTTCCTTCCCTGGTTGTCATTCAGGTGTCAAGGTTAGGCAAATCACATCGGGTCGCTGAGTCACTATTTACAGTTACTGGTAATAGCATAGGTTGCTATTGGGGGGGGGGGGTTAGTTTTGTCTTTCCATGTTTTTCCCTTTTGCCTTCCGTTGTTACTCAAATTTAAATGGCTAAATAATGGGCCGTCACCTCTTTGTTGAAGTGCATACTTAAAACATTCAGATTTGATTAGTCTGAAATTGTTATTTCAGCAGCAGCATACTTTAACCTTCTTTGACAGTTGATGTTGTAGAGTGTTAGGCATAACACGGAATTCCCTTCGAATAATGCAAAAAATTTTGAATGAAATAGAATGAGAATAGGTATTCATGTTCGTGGTAGGAATACTCATTCAGTGGTTGGATTGACAACATCCGGTTTCCATAGTCAATTCTAGTTTGCTTTAAACTTTTCCTTCAATTTCTACTTCCCCTCCCTACAGTAGTGGGATTTCATTTCTCCTTGCCATTCCAAAAGGCAAAATCTGAAATATACTCTTGTACGTTTGATTTACCTTTACCGTAAATTGGCCGCCGTTTACTGTAAACTAATGTAATAAGTGCCAAAGTGAACGCAAATGGACTTAGTTCAACGTTAACAAAATTTGAGATAATAGTTCACTGATCTAAATAGGAAATTCTCCTAATAGTGTTTGCCGAGTTTCATCTTTCACTGCTAAAAGCCATCCTCTGACAACATTCAGTCATTAATCCATTCTGTTTGCTGTAACGCCTATGAAAGGCAACTCCTTATTTTCAATATTTTGGTTATCGTTCAGCTTTGTTACACATGGGCTCACAGAAAATGGGATTTTATATTTTGCGTAAGCACATTCACCTGCAATTGCCTAAGGTTGAATCTGCTGTGACCTTGAGTTTTGCATGAGTTGTTGATAACACCTGAATTTGTCTTTACATGAGAACTACTTGTTTCTGAACTTTATAATGTACTCAACATTTTATTGATAAATGACTGGACATCCTTATTGCATTGGCTATCGAAGTTTTAACAAGTCACATCTGCTTTTGAATTCTCATTTAACATGCCAATCTTATTATTATAACCCAGAGATCGAGAAAATAGGTTTTTCGTGCTTTAGTGGTTAGAATCAATGTCTAAATTTTATCTTTCATCCCTTGCATTTCTCTCTGCATTAACATGCCTTTTTGCGTATTGCACTAATGCTGAGTTTCTCTTCCTTATGTAGGCTGAATGGCAGTCAGCGAAGGAGGAGGCCAAGGACATTCTTCAAGCCCTTGAAGAGCTAGCCTTGGCCCACGCCCAGCGCGATACCGAGCTGTCAAACCTTGAGCGCGAACTCGAGGACACTAAGGAGAAACTTCAACAGACTGATTTGACCATCAAGGATAAGGAGAGCGAGGTGCAGTTGGCTCGTGATTCCCTTGCTACACAGCGCAAAAAGTATGCTGAAGTGGTTGGCACCCTCATTCGAGATGTCCTTGACGTGGGTGAATGCATGAGCAATCAGCTTCAGAAACCCAATGTGAATATTGGTGAGAGGCTTGATGAAGAGGTCACTGTTATGCGACTCTACATGAATAAGATGAAGACGGAGGCCAAGATGCTTCACTCGAGAGTGAATCAACTTGAGGAGGAAAGGGTGCAGCATGTCCAACTACTGAGGAAATCAGAGGATGAGTCAAAGGAGTATGCTATTCGTGTTCGAGAGGTGAGTTTCTCGTTTATTCTTTTAAGCCACGGCCTGCATGACATTAGGAAAATAACAATTGACTGAGATTAGCTGGTCTTGTAACGCCATATTCTTTAATTAATTTAGAGATAATAAAACTGTTCATCAATGTCCTTTGCTATGAACACCTTGTTAAGGGAATTAAATAGTTCTGTTTTGGTTTATTAAATTTCGAAATTTGGTTTTTATCCCACTAGCCATTTTCTAGCTTCATTGATTTTTGCCAGTCTTTCATTTACCACAATGGTCTCTCTTGCACATCTTAAGAATCGAGTAATTCAAAGCAGTGTCAACCCTTAGTCATGCATAATGCTCTGGTAACATTTGACAGTTGCAATATTAAGCATTTACACCTATTTTTAATATGCTCTATGAAGGTAGCAAACAGTTGCAAGTAGGCTACCTACAAAGATCGATCAAACTTGCGAATTCGATCTCAAAGCAGTCTTGAGATTAAATAGTGTTGTACAGCATTAATTGAAATGCTGTTCAAACCAAAATGTGGGTATCGTTTAAATTTTTAACGTTATTTCCTGCTTATTAATCAGCTTTTTAGTGCTGGGAGTTTTTGGAGCTATTGGGTTGTCGCGAGTGGTTTCCGTGGGTTAAAGTGGGAAAAAAAATGCGAAATCTGTTTGCTTGAATAAGCGCTCTGAGTTAGGCTTGTGCGTGTTTGTGAAGGTGACTCTTATCGCCTATTGGCGCTATCAACAATGACTCATACAGGTTCTAACTCGACTACTTAGCCTTTCTAATTGATCGAGCTTTTTGAAATATTGTTCACACAGAAATATTTGCTTGTTTAAAAGACTTCCATATTGGAAGTACTTTGAATGACCTTCTGCATGGCATTTGAAAAGTATTAAACAACATGCGGGCAATATATTGATTTGAGTCACCCAATACATTAGTTGCCCCTTGTAAGCTATCCAATCTCTGGAATGTCGGTAATTTGGACTTGTTACTTTTCTTAAACTGTGCCATCTAAGAGAGTGCAAGCCATTAATTGATATTTTTAACCCAATTGTATGGATCTTATCTAATAAACAGTATTACACCGGACGTTCGGTGTATGCCTAGATTTAACAGCACTCCTTCTGCACATGACATTAAATCGTTACCTAAGGCTATTTTATTTTACTCGCAAAATATTTTATTTCGATGTGTTTTGCTGTTATTCTTGTAGCTTGAAACGAAAGTGCAGAGCCTAACAGACAAGGTGGATGATTCAGATTCTCGCAAGCGTCAACTGCAGGACATGGTCGATAATCTGAACGCCGACGTAGCTAAGCTGCGTGCCAACGAACAGCTATTGGCTGGCTCAGGTTCAACCAATAAGGAGATTCTCGCGGGCCAGTCGGAGATTCGTGTCAAACTGGACGAGGAGTTTAAGCGCCAGAGCGAACAGTACGCACAGCAAGTTAAACATCTGCGTGATGAGCTCGAGAGCAAGGAGAAGAAATCCGAGGCACTTAATGAGTACGTTATGTTTTCTTATCTTTTTCATCTTGTTTAAATATCCTAGCTCAGTTTCAATAGGATTTGGATAGGAGGATTTCTGATTTAATTCAGTACGCTTGTTGACCTCTAAAGGGAAGGCAAACCGAAAATCTTTGATATTTAACTTAGTATAGCTTATTAACCATGTTAAGAACATAATTGCCTTACGTGGATTGTAGTGAGTTGAATCACGTCAAGTTGCAATACGAGAAATCTTCTGATGAATCCGCAGCACTGAGGAAGCAGCTAGAAGTGGCAACCGAAAGGTTAGAAGCCTTGGAGAAGGAGGCGGCTCGTCGCGAGCAATCTAAAGAAGATCTCAAGGCCCTAGAGGAGACTATGGTCAAGGAATTTAACACTCTGGCCACTCTGCGTCGTCTCTTTGTGCAGGACTTGAAGAACAGAATCAAGAAGGCAAGTTCTTTCTTACTGTTTCGCTTACATCTTTAATTGTAGTTAAGATTTATATAACTGTTTTATCTTTGTTCTTAACCCAGGTTATATACCATAGGATTTTCTTCCATTTATCAAAAATTGCTCAAATTTTTTAAAAATTGGGAGCTTATTTTGTGAATAAATTAACATTTTTGCGTTGAAATAATTCAAATAGTAGAATTTTAGATCGTTTCCCACATTCTTTAAAGCATATTACTAGTTAAATAAATTGTATTATGTCATCTTGTCAGAGTTATTGTTAATCTGTTAGATTAAATTGATATTCTCTAATCGACATTCATAAATTAAGCTTATTTAATATTCGAAATTTTTAATAAATGTATGTATTAGAAAGCATTTAATTTTCGATCAATATCATCTTTGAGATATTTCGTTCCTTTGGATGACCCCTTCTTTTTTCAAATTTTGTTGTTGCAATGTGTGTGTGTGTGTGTGTGTGTGGAAGGTTTTCATCATCATGTTTGTTGAAATCTAAGCTGTAACTATCAATAATAAACAAGCAACTGAGTTGATGTATATTCATTGTTCCCTATTCCCCTCTCCCCCTCTTTGTAGTCCACAACGCGAATGAACGCCATCAAGGCGGCGGAAGCTGCAGCTGCCGATCAGCAGCATCAACAAGAGGGAGGCGAGAATGCCGAAGCAGTCGGTTTGAAAGAACTCATCGGTGGAGAGGATGAGGAAGACGAATCGAGCCAATGGGGAACTCTTGCCCAGCGAGAGAAGATTGCCTTCCTCGAGAATAACCTCTCTAAACTCACAGATGTCCACAAGCAACTCATTCACGACAATGCCGAACTCCGTTGCGAACTGCCCAAGATGGAAAAACGACTCCGAGTAAGTTATCGTCTGCTTACAGTACATTTATTAAAAAGAGAATGGGTGAAGTGATTGGTTATGGAAGTCTGATTTGTCTCCTGGTGCGCTTTTTTTTGGCATTATATGAGCCAGCCATTTATATCTTGACTTTATTAAAGCAACTACATGCGAGGTCTCTGAGGCAACACGCCTTGGATAGATTACATTTTAGAATATTCTGAAAAGTTTTAATTGCGTGGGAATGTTTCATCAGCTTTAATATGTTTTAATGAGATCAGGAATAAATTAAAGGCGGATAAGTAAGTTAATATCTGAATGACTGTCTTAAGGCTGTTTTGAGTTCAGTCCAATTCTAACGCTTAAAATATTTAAAGGGAAACTCGACTTAACCAAGGATTTACCACGAAATCGATGCTCATCAGTACACATTTAATGTTGTGGATTGCCAACTAATTTTAGTAATTGAGACTTTAGAATGCAATTTTCTCATAACAACACCTTCACTAGTGTAGCTTTCCTCGGACCAATTCGTCTATTATCAGTTCTTTCCTCAAGGAACTTGAAAAAATCAGACCGCCGTATATTTGCCAATTGTTTCAGGTTTCAAGCCTAGTGTTATGACATTTCGATTTCTGCCTTTTGAGATGTGATTGATCAGTGGAATGAGAATGTGATATGGGTCATTTCACGGATCAGTTATTACTTAATCGCTTTTAGGTTTAATCTTTATCGACTAAATTGAATCGCAGACCAGTTAGAACCATGAAAAAAGTACATCCATAAAATGCGTTTAGTCTGTGTAGGAGTGTGGATTAGCTTTATTTATGCACGTATGCGTAAAATTTATATGTAATTTTCACATAGAGTGTGTACTTCTCATGGGCACTCGTGTGCTTCTCTTTCTACCTGGTTCGCACGCATAAAAGACCGCCTCTATTTGGAAATAGTTGACTGCAATACTTAGGGGGTTTAAGTAGTATGTAGAAGCATGAATGTGCAATTCCCAAACGCATTTTCTCTCCTTTCTTGTTTCGTATTAGCATTTTTTCCTTTTGTAGTCACTTCTATGCCACCACCAATTTATAAGATTGAGTTAAGGCGTCCCTTCTTTTCATAACTACCAGCGTTTGGCCAGCGCAAATGACGTGGCCTACTTAAAGGATTGAATGTTGATACATTTAGTACATAATTATGTTGCTAACTGTTGTCTTATTGTTACCATATAAGTAATATTTGCCTGCCTTTCCGTCGCCATTTTAGTCGACTGCTGAGCGTGTTCGCAGTTTGGAGATCTCGTTGAAAGAGGCGAAGGAGGGCGCAATGCGAGACCGAAAGCGCTACCAACATGAAGTTGATCGTATCAAGGAAGCTGTGCGACGTCGTCAGACGAATCGTATGGGCAACCCCTCGGCCACCATTGCCAAACCCATTCGTGCTGGTCACGCCCCACAAACCGTTGTCGTCGGTGCCGCAAACCCCTTTTCATAAGTTCCTTTCTCTTCTCTCATTCAATTTCCGATTCCTCACGTGGCTTCCTCACATACGCACCGACAGCAACTTTATACTTTACCATCTTTCCCTCTGCTCCGTGTTAGCGCCGTGTTTTTTCATCACATCACAAACATCGTTGCCCTGTGTTGCGCATCAAATCTGGCTGTGGATGTTAATGGAAGAAATCCCTCCTGAATTTCTCTTCATTTTTCCCTTTGCCCCATTTTGGTTCTTCGCTCCACCTCCTCCTTTCACTTCGAATTGAAGTTAAGACTATCACTAATGCGCTCCCATGCCTATTGTCTTGTTCGTTATTTACCTTCCCTGTTTCCCCCCCCCTCCCCCCCACNCCTTCCCTGTTCCCCCCCCCCTCCCCCCCACCTCCCCACCCACCCACCCACCTCCATACTCCCACATCATTTTTTTTGTTTAAAATTTAACTGTGCAAGTAAATTTGAGAAAAGAAGAAGAACAATTAAAGATAAGTAGTTGATGTCTCTCTTTGGTTGTCTTTTTCCCCCCATTAAGTTTTATGAGGGCTGGAGGAATTGTAGAAGCCTTTACAGAAGTACGTATTGGCAGGCGGGGACATAACTTTGTATCGTCTTTTCTGCCGGTGGTGTGTCCTATTATCTGTTAATAATCGCTGGAGCCACAGAACGGGGAAGACAACTACAACCGGTCCGGTTTATTGGTAGCAGTCTACTTGATGAGAGAAGAGAAATGATTTCTGGTGATCATTTTGGCGCAACAGACACAGCACACCCCAGAATGGAGTGTGCGATTAAAACTCCCTGAGTCTGGTTCTTGCCTTTGTAGTGTAATAGCACGCAAATTATGCTAAAGCACAATTAGAAGCCTTCTTTTTACCATCCGTTCTTTGATTTAGATAATATAACAAGTAGTTCTTTTACACTCTGGAATTTCTTGGGTATGTGCTGCCTTGACATTCTGATAATGGGGTGGGGAGGGGGGGGGGGGGGGGGGGGGGGGTTTACTGCTGGCATAACTGGCCAAAAAGATTATGCCGCTAAATCGCGTTATTCTTATTTGATATTTGATCCATTATCTGGTTGCATTTTCTGTCAACAAAATAGCGTAATATTCATATATTTCGCTACCACCATTTAATTGCATTGTTCATTTGAGATTTACATATTAGAGAAACTTACCTTCGTCCTTGCATTGATAACAAATTAGGCATCTGTGGGTTATTTATGCTAGCTACTCTATAAAAAGGCGAAGACTGGTTTCGCCAAAGTATACTGACCATTTCTATTTCAAAAAATACAACCTTACTAAAACAACGGCTTCTGTTCGAATTTCAAATTTTGCGCAATTCCAATGTAACCATTTTCTAAACACAAAAAATAATTCTGAACTCTGATATTACATGCTTATTTTGACTTTAACTGATAGTGTATAATTTCGAATATAATTGTCAAATAAACGAATATTCGTTTCCCAAACAAGTTGTATTATTAATTCGGCAGAAGATAAAAATCGCGAAATATAATTCAAATAACAATAACTCCACTGACTAGCTCGGAACATCTCAAACATGACCTCTTTCAGGAATGCCTGAGTCAGATCCCCATATTGGAATTTCGTGATGTGAAGCAGTGGCTTTAACTCCTCAAGAGTAAAGATTGTGCAATTTGAATCTGAAAACCAACCAACACGTTAATATCCGAAACGGCTTTCAGCCACTCACCTTCCTCTTCCATCGCTTTTCCTAATCCCTCACCTGATCCAGTTAGTGTACATCCCCATTCAACCACTTCCCCAAAAACACCAATTTGACCTTGATGTGGATGTTAAATACATCCACCATATTCATTAGGTTTCACATTTAGGCTCCAATTGATTGCACACTTTCAGTCGAAAGCAATTTGATGGAGTGAAGAATTGCAATGTACCTACACCTCAGAACGAATTCCCCAATATTATTGCTATCGAGGTTATTGTCACTAACTCAACCCTCATTAACTCATGAGTCACCTCAACAACTACTAATTCCCCACCCCCTCCACCAACCCCCAAATAACTAAAGCAAACTACCTCAATATTTCCGAGATTATGTTAGGCAGTAACCACATTGTTTAGTAAATTTTAACTAGCATACAGATAACACTACAGTTAGCATAAAATTGATAACACCCAAGTCTACATTTTGTACGTTTTACTGAGGTGTCCGAAGTAATGATCAGGCTGATGATTCCACTTGCTCAACACAGTTTGTGAATTTCAGAGTGAATTATGGTCACAAAGCCAAGTTGCATCACCATCGGAATAGTTTTCCATTAAAATATCAAGGTGGTGTGCTGAGAATAGAGATGTCGGCGATGATGTTTACGATCATTAAACTGCATGAAAGTAAGAATCTCTTCCTTTCTCGTCTCATCTTGTGCCACTCTACGTCGTTATCTTGTCACTTTACCTACAACTTCCACCTCCTGGCCATGGATATTATGTGAAGTGCAAAAGAGCTGATTTTTTAGACAATCCCGAACGCCCCAAAATTGAGTAGAAGATAAGAAGGGCAGCGCAATTGACACCTATTGTGAACAGACAGGCAGGATCTCGTACCTTGCTGGACTGTCCTTCGAAAAGGGTGAACTTGGAACAAGTTTTATTGGACAAACCCTACATATTAAAGACTGCAGAGGGTGTTCGAGATTCTCTACTTTGGACCATATCTGACTGATGAGTGCAGAGTCGTATCGTCAGTGGATGTCAGAACAGGAGTAGCAGTAGAAAGCCCTAGTGCTAGTAATGGCAAAATAAGCGACACAGTAAACGAATTTTGGTAGGTGTATGTGAAACAGAGGCAAAATATTGAGATTGAAATAGCAAGAGACATTTAGCCTCAATTTTCGGTGAACTATTATGGTTCAATAAAAGCTCAATCAAATTTATTCAATTGACTACGAACATTTATTAAATAAAGTTTTATGGGATGTCGACGAATCCATTTTTCGTGATTCAAATATTTGACGATGGAGGAAGGGGGGGGATAATTTTGTCCCTCTTTAGTTGTTGAATAACATAAATCTTCAAACATTTGATCGAGGTAGGTGACTTAGACTTAAATGGCAGCTGCACCAATCGCGAATGCATGTGGGCGCTTGAAGCCGACGAAAATTTTGGTCAGTAAACCAAATTTTATGTATCCCTTAGCCGTTGCACCAACATGACCTGCACATTCGTTTTTACGAGGGCATCGTACATTTCGATTTTATTTATGCGTAGACTGACCAGGCATTCACCGAACATGGGTCAAATATTTTTTATATATTTCATGTAACCTATGCGAGACGCTACATTCATTCATTTTGTCTTCGTTAAAATCCAAATCACTAATGCAGTCAACCGAAGATATTATATTAGCTTTTGATAAATAAAGACATGAGATAAAATTTTAATTTTAAATAGATGTAATGATGCAATCATTGGAACTTCCATCTTACACATAACTCAGTTGCGTGAAAATAAGCTAGGTGAAATATTCAAAGTTTCATATTTGATTCATGAAATCGGGCTGAATTTATATTGTCACGGAGGGGGTGTGCGATAGACTTACCTCCGCGTGGTGCAGCCTTGACAACGTATACTCATACGGCGAAAAAGTTCATTAAGTGATAGTTGACTTCAGACTACCATTACCCTACTGTAAGTCATATTCAACCACTTCCACAATACTCATCTTTCCTTTTTCCCACCATTTTGTCCCTCTGTCTATTTACATCTTTGAAGCACTCTTCTATTCCCCCCCCCCTCTCGACTGTTTTCCACTTTGTCTGTTCCTTCCCTCTGTGAAGCCCGAAGTCAACTAAAGGGCTATTTATAACTATCAAAACGCCTACCATTTGATACAAATAAGCGAAGGATAAATGCCCTTTTCAAACACAAACCACTGATGGGTGGGATAGTGGTCAGATCGAATGAGTCATCTCCCTCAAAATGCGGGATTAGTCATTTACGTGCGTGACTAAGTTTGTCACAACGGAAAAATGTACATTTTGGCTCTGTTACTACTTCGGATGTTGTGCAATTCGAAAACGGTGATGATACAGAAATATGGCAGACGAATACAGAGTGCACAATAAAATGGAGGTTAAATTAAGGCAGTATGCACCTAGTTAGAAGTATTAAGGTTACTGACTGTGGATTATTAAATTAATGAGTAGATAATTTACCACTGGAAGTGTAATAGACATGGTGCACCCTGTGCAGTGAATATTCGTATGGCAAAAAAGTCCAAAATCCGGCAGTTAACCTCTGACATCGGGGTGTGCGATAGATTTACCTCCACGTGGTGCACCCTGGGCAACGTATACTCATACGGCAAAAAAGTCTATTAACCGGCAGTTGACTTCTGGCTTCTAACTACCACGACCCCCCACCCCTGGTTGTCATATTCGACCCCTTTCACTGTACTCACCTCACCTTTTTCTCTACCTTTGTATCCGTCTATCTCTTTTACATCTGTGAATCGCTCTTCTGTTCCCCACCCCTCGACTTTCTGCTACTTTGATGAACCTTCCCTCTGTGAAGCCCGAAGCCAGCTAAATGTCTAATGATATCTATCAAAACGCCTGCCATTTGAAATGAATAAATAAACTTCTGACATCAAACTACCTTGACCCTACTATACGTCATAGTCGACCACTTTCACAGCACTCACATTACCTTTTCCTTACCTGTGTGCCTGTCTCGTTTACATCTGTGAAACACTCCTCTGTTCTCCCTCTCGATTTTTTTGACATTGATATTCCTGCCCACCGTGGAGTCCGAAATCAACTAAATAGATAATGTCAACTAACATAAAGCCTGCCATTTGATAGAAATAAATAAACAATTCACCATGCCTTAAGGGATTAGCTAAATTCTTAGTGCATTGCTTGCCATTTTTAGTTTAAATTTAATTGTAAAAGTATTATTCAATAAATTACTACCGTAATAAAACAGAAACTCCACTTATTAATTTATTTCATTCTCCCATGAGTGCACAACCTAGAAACTCAATATTTAGTGGATGTCTCATTTTCTTAAAAAAGTGAAGTTATGTAAATGTGGACGCGTGACGAGTAACGTAACAAAAAATTAATTCCATATTCACCTGAGTAAAAATAAAATTAGAAATTGAATACCAGCCAAGTTTTCGTTATCGATTTACCGAGTACTATTACTCTTAACATTTATTTATATTAAATGGCAGGCGTTTTGATGGTTATAATTAGCCCATTAGTTGACTTCAGGCTTCACAGAGGGGAAGGAACATCAAAGTGAAAAAGTCTAGAGGGGGGGGGGAGGAACGGAAGGATATTTCAAAGACGGAGAGGGGGGGGGGAACAGAAGAGTGTTTCAAATATGTAAAAGAGACAGACACAAAGGTAGAGAAAAAGGTGAGGTGAGTACTGTGAAGTGGTCGAAAATGACATACAGTGGGGTGATGGTAGTTTGAAGTCAGAAGTCAACTGCCGGTTTATAGACTTTTTTTGCCGTATGAGTATACGTTGCCCAGGATGCATCACGTGGAGGTAAGTATATCACCCACCCCATTACTCTTAACATCATTTTATCCTAAATACATATAATCTCTATGTATTTTGGATCCGAGATTAACAGTGTCAACAACATTGCAACTTTAAGCAGCCACTGCGGTCAACTTCGTCTACAAAATTTCAAAATGACAAGAAGGCTTGCGTTTGTGAAATCAATATGGCGTTGAATTGGTAATTGCCTTCTAAATCAATCAATAATAGGTGAGAGCGGATATTTTAGCCTCAGATATA